TGAAGTGGTAGTATTTTTTTAAATTTATTTTTATTATATTAGTTATGTGCTGTGCACTACATGTATAGACCAACTTATACATGTACGATTAAAAAGTGAAAAATATATTAGTTATCTTCTTTGACTCTACTCTTTTTCTTTTCTTGCTTAGTTCCTCAAAATCCACACTTCTTTTTTTTTTTTATGCTGAAGTAGCTACTTCTTAGTTTGAGCTGTATGCAATCATTGGTGCTTTGAATTTCAACTTCAAAGAAAAAGCCAGGTTAGTTCAATTCAGGGATTCGATTTAGATTCCTTTTTTTTTATTATTGAAACTCAATTATTTTACTATTTGGTATCTATTTTAATTTAAGTTTTGGCTTTTTATTATCGTGTATCTTTCTAGCTTGCTTTTAATTTTGTGTTGCAATATTATACGGAATAGTTATTAATATGTTATGGAATTGGAATGATACTTAACACTAGGTAAGTGTATGAAATCATTTTTACTATCTTGAGATGTTATTATGTATTTTTAATTTATATTTAAAATGTTTAACTTACTTTTACATAATGGAATGTAGTTGTCAACAAGTTTTATTGTAAACAAGAATGGAAATTACTCTTGACTGTTATATTTTATAACATTTAAGGTTACAAAATTACAGAAGATCGATCTTGGATGTATCACCACTTAACTTTTGATGGATTCATTAGAGACGATTTATAAATGGAGTTAAAAAATTCATTAATTTTGTATGTTCTAACTCAACATTTATGTGGGAAAATAAGATTAGATGCCATTGCTCTTGATGTAGTAACAATAAGTTTTTAAATTCCAATAAGGTGACAGAGCACATCTTTAAAAAAGGTTTTACTGGTGCTTATACAATATGGAGTTTACATGGGGAACATAATGTTGGACAATCATCAAGAAGTAGAGATAGAGTTGAATCTTATGCTAGTAATGGGGAACATGGGGAATATGGGGAAACTACATAGGAAGAAGAAATAGAAAACCCATATACTAGAATGGTTAGGGATGCTCTGGGTCTGGAAGTTGCTTTCAATTATAGTCATGAT